CTTAACTTAACTTACTTAACTTTACTTTACTTTACTTTACTTTACTTTACTGACTGACGCGATAGCAATATATCTGCGCTACGCGCAGATACAAAAAGGATAAATAACACACTTGTCTTGTCTTGGATGCGCGCGCGTTAATTGGAATCACATCACTACGTCATAGATTAAGTAAGAACAGATGTGTTAACTTCAGTAAGGCGCACCCTTCCTCCTTAAAATTCGGTCATGAAACATACGATTGCACATTAGATATCTATACTTCATTTATCTTATAGTTGATTGGTAAAAATGTTTCTCAAACTGTTCGTGATTTGCTGCCTCGTTGCCATAGAAACCAATTACGTTACGTCATTTGATGGTAGATGTTGGTACCGTCCATATATGTGTTATAATTTGGCGGGTGGAAATAGAAGTCCCATGGACTCAAAAAGTGGACACTCGCCAAACTGGCTTCAGTTGCTTGGCAGGAAGAAAAATTATCGTTGGAAAAGATCCGAAGCGTTGCTGGATGAACCAGAGTTTGAGAAATGAATTGGCCGAAATAGAACAGCATTCGTATTTTAAAAACAACTGACAGTGTTTATTCTCAAATTAGCCTGCACATATAGTTCGTAGTTCAGAAAAAGTTATATGTTCCAAACTATTTAGGAGTAAAATATATATGGTAAAAATCTTGTGGCTTTAAAAAATATGGCAATAAAATTTCATTATTCTGACCTATAGTGACGCATACTTTTGTCTACTTTCATAAAAAATTTTATTGTCTCATTTGAAAGAATGTTACATATAAAAAGTGTTGAACTCTTGAAATATTTGACTGAAAGTAATGCCTATCTTGGGTAATTATTCACCTCATTAACTGTTGTTTTGATTGTCGATGTTGTCGTTTTGATGATGTTGTTGTTTTGATGATGTTGTTTTGATGTCGTTTTGTTTTGCAGGAGTGGGGTTAGCCTTATTGAGCGTTTGCACATCACGTCACAGTCGCCATGTTGGTGTTCCAATTCAAAAGAATTTTAATTAGACTCTTTTGTCTGGAGCACCAACATGGCCGCCAAGGCTTTTGTCGAGTTGATCCCTGGGAAATGAGTGCAAACGCTCTATACGTTACTGAGTAACTATCGAAACTTGTTTAAAATGGTTTTATTCAATAACGTAACCGGCTACCATGTTGCTAGCCAGTGCGCCAAGGAGAGGCCGTCACCCCCTGAACACATTCACAATGGCCGGCTATAGCTTAGACGTTCAGGGGGGAGGCGAGTGCTTCTCGCAAGTACACTGGCTAGGAACATAACAGCATTGCGATGCTTTGCACTGTTTTGCAACTACGATTTTGCAATCTGATTGGCTCTCATAATAGCTTATATCCTGCTAGCAGAAAAGGCAAGATGGCGCCTAAGAATCACGGAAGTTATGCGAACAACAGAACAGCACGTTATTCGCTTTTCAAAGCCTTAACATGAATAAAAACACAACAACAAAAAATCCCAGCAATTATCTATATATAGAAAATAGCTTTGCAACCTCTAAACTAGTTCAAATATAAGCATTTAAAGAATTAGTAGCAAGAAAGTGGCAATAAAATCACATCACAGAAAATACATTTTAGAAAAAGTCTCAAGCCGAAAAACAATCGATAAATGTGCTTTACGGTGGTCTCCGAAAAGAAGCCGACTCGTGACGGGCTATGACGACAACCGACGGTGTTTAATTAAAGCAGATGTACTCTTATACAATAACAACTACAAAATATTGCTATTAAAATTAATTTTCACCTTTTAAAATTTAATTGAAATCCCCTGTCAGTTATTATTAAGTGCGGCGTTAATTTCAAATAACATTTTGTCTACACAAATTTACTTAATATTTTATCATATATATAGCAATAAGTACAAGCAATATTTTCAAAGCCAATATTGCACGATAGAATTCAAACGAAATTCAATTTGAGCGGTGAAGACTTTAATATACACTGAATTATTTTGAACTTTATTTTTAATAAGTACATATATTCTTGTGTCAATATTTCATTAGAGGAGTCAGAGTGTCAATTGCAAAGACAGTGAATTAGGTTTTCAAGAGTGAATTCGTTGAATCTTCGTGACATATTTTCAATAGTAAAGAAGGCAATAGACTGGATTTCTATGTTCAACTATATTTTTGTCAGTTTCTTGACATGGGTGAATGTTTTCTGGTTCATTTTGATGTGAAATATCAGACCGCCAGTATTTTAAAGACAGTACTTGGATTTTGAAGATTGAAAATATTGGACAATTTTGAACCTAATTTTTTGTGGATTTTGTCTGGTTATTTTGTCTGGTAACGCTAATAAGATTCCGACTATCTAAAACAGTAAAAGACAGTGGAATACACTTATAGGGGAGCAAATAACTCAATACTTTGACTATTTTCTTGTGGAATTTCGGTCATAATGGTTGCATTGAAAGAATTCACTAAATATCTGTGCATTGGCTGGGAGACAATGCAACACACAAACATACTTTACATAACACTTACAGTATGCTTTGTCATCACAAATATCGTGATTTCCCTATGTGGAACAACGGCAAATGTACTTATAATCCTATCTTACTGCCGGTATCGAAACGTACGTGTTGTGCAGAACACATTATTCACCTTGCTGGCTATCACAGACCTTACTATAACTGCTTTCGCACAGCCGATATACATTGCAGCGATCTTGCAGAGCGCTTTTTCTATATACGACTGTGAACTATGGTTTGTTATCTACGTCACATCATCTCTATGTCTTGGATTGTCGTTATCAACTGTGACTATATTAAGTTTGCACAGTTTTGTCACTTTAGCATATCCTTACCAGTATCAAAAATTAGTAGCCTATCTTAAAGGTCTAGTAGTGATCTCATGGTCGACTGTATTTATCGTTGTAACCCTTCAAACATGTTTCGCATCGCAACGAGTATTCATTATGACTGGAGCCGGTTTAATAATATTCACAATCCTAACTGTAACCTCGACGTGGCTCTGGACTTATAAACTTATTCGTCGTCACCGCCGTCGCATAGCAACAAGCCAGATGCCGACAAATTGTACCGGTAATTTGGTAGCGCAGAAAAAGGTGCTTCGCTCGACGACGACCGCGTGTATGGTAGTGGGTGGTTTAATCGCATGTTACTTGCTCGGATTTGCGAGGTTGATATACGAAGCGAATATCAGTGGTAATAACTGGATTGTTTTGGAGTATGTGTTGCGACCGTTGTCCACTACGCTGATGTATGGAAATTCTCTACTCAACCCGTGTCTAGTTCTCTGGCGAAGCACGGAGTTTCGAGGCGCAGCGAAACGGATTCTATGTTAAAACACCCGACGCGCAGTTCGGTAATGCAGCGCGACTGTTTTTAGCTCTTGACAGCGATCCAAACTGTCCACCAAAAACTCTGTAGATATAATGTGTGTAAGCCAGATGGTCAAGTTGTTGTAGTCGTGCAGCTATAAAATCCCCCAAAGCATTATTCCACAAGGTGGAGATTTTACTATTCATTTACCTTAATGGAAGAGCATCCTTGCGCGTTATTCACGGTATAGCGGACTTAACCGGGTGTCCTGTAGACTGTTCAGAAATTCTGATTCCTTCGCCAAAAATTCTTCATCCTAAAATAAAGTACAGTATTAATAACAGTGTTCGTACATGTGAGGAAGACTCAAATTCAAGGACTTTCCAAGGACAATCATTCAATGTATCAGCAAATTCAAGGACTAAATACTGAAGAAAAAGGATTAGAAATCAGTAAAATGTGACGTTGAATTGTTCAAAGCGCAACTTTAATGAGTTTCAAACAGCTTTGTCAGATATGAACAAGCAAAATCAATTCAACAAAATGTCCATTTTGAATGTCAAACAATTTTAGAAAATATCCAAAAACTAAAACACGAAAAATTTAAGGACTTTCAAGTACTTCTTTAGAAATTCAAGGAAATTCAAGGTCTTGAAATTTTGTTTTCAAATTCAAGGACATTGAAGGACTTTCAAGTTTTGAACCCTGCATGTAATAACGTTATACCCTGTGGTTATACATAGCGGGGTTTCCAAGCCTTTTTAGTATAAATTTCCAGGTGACTATTGATTTTTCTGCATTCTGATTGGTCAAGATTCACTGTCTCTGAAGTGATAGTCACTGGTCAGTGACTATAGCTTTTTTTTCAAAATGGCTGTTCGTTTTGCCGTAGTAACAGAGGAAGAAATTGCCAAAATTAAAGAAGATAGCATTCCGAAAAACCCAAAGAAGCTGCAAAATATGGTTTAAAAATATTTCAAGGTAAAATATTAAACTTTACGTGCTTTTATTTGGAAAAAAACTGGCTTAGTCGCAACGCGACACAGAGCCGTGTCTGAGATTTAAATTTTGTAAACAAACTATTTATAGTGAAAATAAATTTATTTGTAGTGAATTTTTATAAAGTTGTGTGGATTATTGTTTGTAAACACCTGGAAATTTATACTAAAACAATTAGTCGCCTCAGGCTCGGTGATTCCAGCCTATATTCACTTCGCCTTCGGCTCAGTGAATATAGGCTTGTAATCACCTCGCCTACGGCGACTAATTGTTAAATAGTCGAGGTCTTAAATATGCCAAGACTGGAAATATTCCTGTATCAACTTGTCATATTATATATAGTCAGATTTCGAAAAGATGACGCAGTCTCAATTTCTGCTCAAGAATGAGCGCTAAGGACTTTGATTAGTGCATGATAAATGCTTACAGTGAAAATACAAGAACCCTCCCACTTCGGCTTCTGTAGTCTGTAGCAGTTACTAAATTATGAGCAAATACGGTGACAAGATGTAGTCAGGGTTCGTACACCCTCTCCATTTAAAATTCCATGACTTTTCCATGACTTTTTTTCAAAATCCATGACCTGGAAGTCTGGAATTTCTGAAATTCGTTAATATTTTAACGATAACAGATATAATAAAAGACAAAATTCACTTTGCTCTTGCAAAAATCCGTTATATAACAACAATTCATATTATATTGTTATGACTGGTAAATTGAAATAAGTGAAATACTTCGTTATTAATGTTATGTAAAATTTCAATTTTCCATGACTTTCCATGACCAGAATTGATTTTCCAGGATTTCCAGGCCTGGATTTTGGAGTATTGAAATTCCATGACTTTCCAGGTTTTCCAGGACCCGTACTAACCCTGTGTAGTTCTCTTTGTTTTTATATAATAATTTGTTGCGAAGGTTGCATTTTTTGTTACATTCACTACAGTTTAACACGTAGAAGATGTTAAATTTCATCTATAAATCGGTAACAGCTATACTGTAATACAGAACACATTACAGTAAATGTCAACAGTTTACAGAAGCGGAATTGGGACGGCTCTTGTATTTTGACTGTAAAGCCTTTTTAGATAACAGTTTCTGCTGAGAAATTGCATGTTTATTAGCCTGGTAATGCAACAAATATAAAATACTGCAAAACAGACCATTTGCATTATAGACTAAATTTTGATCTAAACAAGTCTAGAAAAAACTTTCATCATGAACATCAGGTATAAAGCCTCTTCATGTGACATATTATGGTTGATATGATTTTCCAATAAGCTCATGAATTATTAATGAGTGGTTAAAAGATATTTATTATATAAAGTATAGTGCTTTATAGAGATTTCGAGCACTGATAAAAGTGATAATCTCACATGTGAGATGATAATCTCACATGTGAAAATTATCGCTTTTCAATTATCGCTTTTCTGTAAAAAAAATACCGCTTTTCAAAGACTGTCCTTATAACGATAAACAGAAAAATACATGGGTACTTGGAAATACCAGATTTTTTTCTCGTGTTGAACATGATATCTTACTCGTTCGCTGCGCTCACTCGTGAGATATCATGTTCAACACTCGAAATAAATCTGGTATTTCCGCGCACCCATGTATTATTCTCTATTTAAACTATCGCTCCAAACGAAGGCTGCAGCCTGTTTTCCACTTCAACCGTGTCGTGTCGTGTCGTAACGTATCGTAGCATTTTCTTTTGTGTCGAAGTCATTAGTCCCACACCACCGCTCAGAAAACAAAGAAATACGCTACGTTTCAGTGCGATACGATTAAGGTTACAGGACACCTTTTTTGGCGTTTTGCGGAAAATCACTACTGCGCGCTCAATATCAGTCCGATTTTCATAAAATTTTCACCAAATGTTCTCCAGTGTATGCAAAATATGGTAAAGTTGTAAAATTAACAAACAATAAAATAATGTAAGAATTATTCAGGAAAATCTTAAATCGCGGTACCTTTACGCTTTTGAGTTGTGCTCCTGCTGGTTTTAAGTTATATTTATGAAAATATCATTTTTATACAGTAAAATAGTTGTTCTAAAAAATTGTGTTCGGAAATTTTTGTTTATTTCGTCGTTCCGCTGATATGGCGATTTCTTTGACGACTGCAATATATTTCTGAATTGTTTGAGTGAATTGCTCTTTATTTTTAAAATATCCAAAATTAAAAAAAAGCCGAACACAATTTTGAAACTGACGTATTTAGCTATGTCCTGTGAAAATTTGAGAAAAATTGGTTAAAACCCGCAGGAGCACAACTCGTTTGAAAATCAGTAATTACCGTAAAATTTTTCGTGAGAAAATTGAATTTGAATATTACATTTTCAATGTTTTTCTTATTGCAGCGTAATGTATTTTATTAAATAACTCTGCGAGTTTTCAACATTTTTCGTTCATTTTTCGTTTCGCTTTCATTGAAACCAATGAAAAAATTATAGGCAAAATTAACACTCAAAGGTGTTCTGTAACCTTAAAGTGGAAAACACACTTATAGCTTTCCGTAGGAACGCTATTTCGGAAGAATTACAGTATTGCAACGGAGAGATGTTGTTTCGTTCAACTTCTGAAAGTTGTACATTCCGTATCGGAGAGGTGCTTTTTCGCGCCGCTACCGAAAGTTAACCGGTATAGTGTGGACGTAGCCCAGGATTGTAGATAGCCTAATGTCCTCGTTACCAACCTGTTCTTTATCCTGTGACCAGCGGCGTAATGTTCTCTTTAAATCCAGCGTGTTGACCAGGAGGTCTGGTGGCAAGCTATGAACAGAACTTGCTCGTGGAGGTGGGGGACTGGTTATGAGTTCTCGGGATGTAGCGTAGCGCGAGGAGAGACTGCCGTCTAATGACTGTGAAAGTCTAGCCGATGGTTCCCCTAAAATACAATCATTAATAATTACTACAGTCATTGATAATAATCGTAGATAATTATTTATCACGAAGAAGTGATAAGTAGTACTTCATCGAATCTTAGTAAAACCAGCAATATTGCGGATTTATTCACGGATGTTTCCTGATTTTTCCGCCTTCTAGAAACATGGCTAAAAACATTGTTTCCTGGTTTGTCCACCTTCGGGAAACATGGTGGGGAAACAATGTTTCCTGGTTTGTGCACCTTCAGGAAACATGATGGGGAAACAATGTTTCCTGATTTGTCCACATTCGAGAAACATGGCTAGAAAATAACGTTTCCTGATTTGTCCACAGTCGGGAAACATGGCCAGGAAAAATGTTTCCGCCACAATGTTTCTTAATTTCTCAAGGGCGCTGCATCCTATAGAGATTCTGGCGGATCAGGCCCTTCTTTATTAATAATTTTCTAACAAATAATTACATACTTTTTCCAGTGGAGTCAAGCGTCCGCGGACGACTTTGTGACTGTGAACAACGACTACACAAACCACGACGTCTCTCCACTTCCAATTCTCTCTTTTCCTTCAATGACGCTAGCCGTTCCTAATGCAAAATATAAATGGGGTAAACCGTCTAGACAAATAGACAAACGTAGACAAAGAAGAGATAGCTCAACTGATAATTATAGCTGCAGACGTTAGGCAATCATGAAGAAACGCTACCACTATAGCCGTTCCTTGTAGTCGTGTTTTATCAGATATAAAACGCTCGGCTGCGCCTCGCGTTTTATATCTGATAAAACACTCCTACGCGTGCTTTAAATAGTACTTCGAGCACTGATAAAAGTGATAATCTCACATGTGAGATTATTCATGATAATCTCACATCTGAAAATTATCGCTTTTCAATTTTCGCTTTTCTGTAAAAATTATCGCTTTGCAAAGACTGTCCTTTATATAATACATGGGTGAATATACATGAAATATACATAGAATATATAGGTGAAATATACATAGAATATATAGAATGTATAGGTGAATATACATAGAAAAATACATGGGTGCTTGGAAATACCAGATTTATTTCTCGTGTTGAACATGATATCTCACTCATTCGCTGCGCTCACTCGTGAGATATCATGTTCAACACTCGAAATAAATCTGGTACTTCCGCGCACCCATCATGTATTATTCTCTATATATACAATTTTAGACTTAACCAGAAGCAGTTGCGAAAAATACAACTATAGGCCATCTGACAGGAATCGAACCTGCGGCCCTCCCAACCCTTCAACTGTTAGTTCTGTCGAGCGTCTATAGAGCGAGGTGCCCAAAATCTTGATATTTGCCCAATATAAGCCTGGTTCACACTACAGACTTTGTCGGTGATTTTCTCTTCTTAACGGACGTGAATACCGTATTTAATCGATTTAGCGCCGCCCCCGATTGAACGCCGCCCCCGAATAAGCGCCTCATTTGAGATCAGATTTTTTTAAAGAGCGCCGCACTAAACAGTGTAAAAACTTTCCGCCGTCAAAATGGATACATTTACTGACAAAGACATTTAAAACTTGTTTATTTTATTGTTAAAAGTTCTTGTTATAATTCACAAATAAAATATTTTTTAAAGAGCGCCGCCCCCGATAGACATTTAAAACTTGTTTATTTTATTGTTAAAAGTTCTTGTTATAATTCACAAATAAAATATTTTTTACAGAGCGCCGCCCCCGAATGAGCGCCGCATCTGAAGCTCTGAAAATTTAAAGAGCGCCGCGGCGCTCAAACGAATAAATACGGTAAGTGAACTCGCAGAAAAGTATATAGAATCGCTCTATGGAAGTATACATTTCCAAGTCTTCTACATGTCACTCATCCAATCACATCTGCCAGGAGGAAAAAACCGCCGACAAAATTGCTATAGTGTAGGCTTGGAAGTTATTTCAGTGATTACAAACTCACATCAGCAACCTGCCGGTCCTTCTCTTGCAACAGTAATACTCTCGCCTCCAACTCATTGGCTTGTTGCGCGATCTCGACCTGCATACGTTGTGCGACCTCCAGGGACTTTCTGCCTTCTTCGCGGACCTTCGCTGCTTCCTGTATAACAGACACGTTGAATATTGACCGTTCTTCAGGGATATTACAGAGTTTAAGCAAGACAACGAAGTATGAAGATATACTTGACAATGTATTTTTATCTATATGCATGATCTGCAGTAAACTAAGTAAAGTAAGACTTTTTACCTTCTACGGTTTTACATTTTACATTTTATTCAGTCAACCTCAAAATTTTTCTGGGACCAATGTGGACAACACAGGTTCATGATACATATGCTCGACGACTAAGGGGTCAGTTTTTTGGCGAGGAAGAAAAACTGGAGAAAATCTCTCGAAGCACCGGAAAGAACCAACTCTACTTCCATGATTTTCAGCACAGGAAAGTACCACAGTTTGTATTTAATATCTCTATTGTATTAGTCATAATGTGTATTATAGGTAGTTTACATATTGCAATTGGTGGCAAACTCAGCTCAACTAAACTAAACTAAACTAAACTAAACTAAACTACTGTAAACTAAACTACTGCAAACTAAACTAAACTAAACTAAACTAAACTAAACTAAACTAAACTAAAACTAAAACTAAAACTAAAACTAAACTAAACTAAAACTAAAACTAAAACTACTAAACTAAAACTAAACTAAACTAAACTAAAACTAAAACTAAAACTAAAACTAAAACTAAAACTAAAACTAAAACTAAAACTAAAACTAAAACTAAAACTAAAACTAAAACTAAAACTAAACTAAACTAAACTAAACTAAACTAAAACTAAAACTAAAACTAAACTAAACTAATGTTGACCGTTTTCGGTATGCAAGCAAACTTACCAGGCTGACTGTTGACCGTTTTCGGTATGCAAGCAAACTTACCAGGCTGACTTCGTCAATTTCCTGAGCACGTTTTTCAAGCTCCAATCCCAGTTTTCCAATATGATCTTTCTCTGTATTCCATTTGTCATGTTTATCCACAAATATCCGTTTCTCTCTTCTCAGTTCCTCTTGATCTCTTCTTAGCTGAGTCTCTCTGGCATCCAGGGCAGCGGTGTCTTCCGCCAGACGCACTCGTGCGCTCTCCTGCTCTGCATCCAACTACAAAAAAACAAACAAACGGCATTGGTACTACCTCCGTGATCGGGGATCGCTGCAATATGTACTTGTCTCATTCTAATTTCGTCAAGAAGAGTGCCTTAAGTTTGATTATACCAAACATCGCAGGTTTCCTTCTGTAGTAATAAACCAATATAGTGTATGGTTTCATGTACTACCGTAAACCTTCTTTTAATTTTTTCTGGTTTCAAGTGTAACCCAAGAATTGTGTGGTGTTCATCTGGGATTTCAATTTGCCCCCCATTACCGCGTTCCCAAATTTCACCCTCGATGCCCCCTCTAGTGTTATTTATAATCTCCATGGAAGGCCCTCTATTAGTTGTAACCTTCTCATGAGGCATGAGGGCCTGTGGAAGAGACTGGAAAAGTACATTTTTTTCTGTTTGGATTGAGCTACTGTCGAGAAATGTTCCAGAGAGCTTTTTAACTCGTCAACATACCTTTGTAAAGTTATCATGTTTTTGCTTTTCTTTATTCATCATTCCTCGCTGAGCAGCAGACACCTCGGCTCTTTCTAAAGCCAATGTTCTCCTTTCCTCATTGATGTCCAACATCATTTGTCGTTGTTGTGACAGAAACTCTTCCTTCGTCCTCTGAACTAATCCACGCTCGGCTTCGAGTTGTTCCCGCGTGACGCGTCTCTCTTCCTCGAGGGATACACGCAATGACTTTAACCTCGAATCTTCCTGTATATAACATTGTAATATTAAATACATATACAAGGTGTATATAGAAAAACGGAGTTCTAGATTCAAACGCAAATTTTGAAAAGAATAATCCAGCAAAACGTTTATCTTTACATCTATTTTAAAGGTTTAGTCATTCAGCTTTTTGAAATTTAAGTGGTTTGTTCGGAAAAATATTATTTTACATGACTGAGATTGGGAGATCAAAAATTTGGGATCCAATAATACTAAATCGATGCCAATTTGTTTTTTAATCAAAGCGGGAAAAATCGAAGCATTTTGGCAATGGCTTATATCAAAAGCAAGAAACTACGGTATTCTATCTAGTTAGTCTAGTTTTACTTCATTTACTGTAAGCTTGCATCAATTCAGTCTGTTCATATTACCGCGAGATTCGATGATGTTGGTGCCAACAATAGATGTAAGATTGTTTTATGATTATTTTTAGACTGAATTCAGGAGTATGACATGAATAAAACAACCGCATACCTCTTAAAATGTTTCGAAATAATTTTGCTACTATTACTCGTGTAGCAACAACGACAATGCTAAATTTTAGTTTTAAACAAGAAAATTCAAGAATGGCTGACTTCAGGCTAGTTCATTTTCTATATATACTTATATTCCTATAGATCAATGTTATCACATACCTGGCTCAACTTCCATTTATCTTCCTCAAATTTCCGACTTTGCTCGCGGATTTGCACTTCCATTTTTGCGACGAGGTTTTGCAACCTAGTGCGTTCCTCGTCATTGTCTGTCTGTTGTTTCAGAAGCCTGTCTTGGAGTTGAGTGAGATATTCGTCCTTGGTTTTCATCGTGATGTCTCGTTCTTGTTGACTGCTTTTGTGAGACACTTCTACTAGGTGATGCAAGTCTTCTACCTGAGGTGTTTTAAGAAACGACGAAATTGAGAAACGAAACAAAAATAACCAAATAGGCAAAAAAATGGTAAAACTGTAGTCAATGGAAGAAGGTCAGGCAACTCGATACAGACTAATAGACCTCATTGTCTATGTTTTTGTCTTGGTCTATGCAAAAAAATGGTCAGTTCATCGTCACGTGTGTATTGCTTTTTTCGCCCAACTAACCAACCGGCTGTGTGTTTGTTAATTACCCATTCGTGATATTACACAATGGTTAAATGAAAACATGCCTGTTGTGTTGGTTGCTCTGGCGAAAATACAATACACACGTGACGATGAACATTGTGGTCGGAGCCAGCAACAATTTTCCACTAGCATCACGTTTAGTTTAAAAGCACTAAAGCCTGTTACAGACGAGCAAGCTTTCTATGGCAAGTTTTTTATGTGACAAGTTTTATTCTGAACAAGTGCACTTGTCATAGAAAAAATTGTCAAAGTACAAAATTTAATTTTGTTCGTCTTTATGGGTCAACAAAGAAAACTTGTCAAAGTAATCTGAGCATTTGATGTGATTGGCCAGCTGGCTACTAATAAATTGTCAAAGTAAATTTGTTGACACGTTCACACCAGTAAATAAAACTTGTGACATGAAAACTTGTCATATAAAATTTGTTGCATTTTCACACGTGCATTTGGCAAATAAAACTTGTCACATAAAAACTTGTCATAGAAAACTTGCTCGTCTGTAACCGGCTTAACTATACAACAATCTAATTTAATTAGCTAACCTAATGTAAAAGCAACTAAATTATACACTTATACCTGTTTGGTTGAATTTAAAACTTGTTCCATGAGACTCTGCAAGGACTTGGTGTGTGAGAAAGCAGTCATTGTCGCTGATATCTCCTGTTCTTTCATCTTTTTCAAATGATTTATCTCGGCGAGATGCTCACTGCGTACTTCATCTAACGCACGACGATGTGTCTCGTTCAGTCGCTCGATCTCAGTAAGTTTATTTGCCTCGAGCGTCGAGATCTTTCGCGCATGCCCAGTCTGGAGGTCGGATTTCTCGCGTTCCAGTTGGTTAACCGTGTCTTTGTGTTTAATTATGAGTAGTTCAATTTCTTCTCTCTGTCTAGCTTCCCGACGCTGGTACGATTCTTCCAAGGTTTGCACACGATTTCTGAAAGGATTTATAAAACGTAGCTGAAACTTAAAATATTTCAATTATTAGGCAATTCTATTGCTTCGATATTTTAGGTAACAAATTGAAGAAACTCCTTTGTGAGTATTATTATATACAGCATCACCTTAGTATTTATAGATGAACTTGCGGTTAGAGCTCAACAACTGTATCTCTGTAGCTCAGTTAGTTAGAACGCTGTACTGGAATCGCAGGGTCCATTCCTGCCAGGGGGGCCTATAGTTGCATTATTCGCAACTGCTCTAATAAATGTATACAATTTTCGAATCACATATCGTTTGGAATATTGATAATAACATTTTTCAAAATATGCTTCATAATTTAAAAAATAGCTTTCTTTTAAGTCTGAAAACTTAATAATTCATCACTCCTTAGTATATTTTGTCGACCTTCCTGTTTGCGTGATCGCCGACTAAATTTTGATCAAGGCAAGAAGGACGAAATTCAACACCACAGCTAGAAAGAGCGTCTTAGAGTTAGAATGAGTAAAACTGCAAAGATTGTTTGCTAAATGTTGTAAGATCAAAAAAATATAGCCCTGTGAAGTTCGCAAATTTTGTATATATTTGTATTACGCGCGGTAAAAATAACCCCTTTCGGCTCAAAAATGGTTGTTTTTCCCGCGCGTAATGTCTCAAGCAATTCCATGGGTGCCCAACACACACACCCCCCCCCGGGCGTTTGTCGGGCATTCTCAACTGTACTTGTTCCCAGGGTCGGGCATTCGCTTTCTGCAGGTTAGCCCCGGGGTGGGGAATTTGCTCGAGGCTAAAAAGTCGAATATTTATCGCTTGTTTCGCCATTTAGTCGTACTTTAGTACGCATGTTTACACGAGCGTGCGTATCGCAAATTAATCATGGCGGAATAACACAAGACTTTTTTCTTGTCCATCCTGTTGATACATTGACTTACTTCTGCAGTTTGATATTGCTATATAAAGTTTTGAGACTTCAGTATTTTAATTAAAAACGTTTTAAAACGAAATGCCTATAGAATCGATTTTAAATACAGATATAGATAGATAGATAGATAGATTGTTTAATAATTCACTTTTTGCAGTACAAATACTGAATTGGTAAGCGATTACAATATAAAAGAGACTGAATACAAATTATATTACATTTAAAAAATTACAACCTATGCTATGGCTTACTAAGAAGATTATAAATATTAAAACTAACACTAATTTGTTGAATTACGATTATTTATGTCTAAGCAACTAGCGATGACATACGAATTCTTAAAACGTTCAGTATAGAATTTCGGAACATGTATCTTCTTGTTGTTTCGTAATTGGTAATTTAATGAAGTATCTATTTTAGGGATTAAATTATGAAGTTTATGGTTCGGGTTATTTAGAATTTGATTAAAAAGTTTATTGCAGGCAATTTGCCTTCTAGCGTACTATGACTCCATCCCAGCTTCCATCAATGCATCTTCGTAATGTAAGTTCGGATATACAATTCGAAGAACCCGTTTTTGTACTCGTTCAATTTCATCACTCAAGTATTTAGGTAAAGAGTAGTGGAAAACAGTGGAAGCGTATTCCAGAATGGGGCGGATACATACGGTATAGAATTGTAAAACATCTTGAATTGCGACTTTTGCTCGTTTCAGCTGCACTAAAAGGTAAATCCTTTTGGAACTTTTGTCACTATGTTATTGACATGACTATTCCACTTCAAATTGTTCGCGATAGTAAGACCCAGTAATTTTGCTTCTTCCACCACTTGTAAGGGTTTACCATTAATTTTAATAGGAGGAAAGGGATTTCTATTTTTCGCAAAGTCTATCCGCAATTCTTTGCATTTGTTTTCATTCAATCTGAAAAGGTTTGACTCGGACCACTCTTCAATTTCGGACACTGCATGTTGGATATCACTTGAACCAAATCTGGTTACTGTTTCATATACCGTTAGATCGTCTACGAATTTTACCTCGTCTAAACAACGTGTTTTTAGATCGTTTATCATCAATATAAATAACCACGGACCCAGCTTGGTTCCTTGAGGGACACCAGCTGGAACATTCCCCCACTCCGAAAAACAGTCGTGCTCCAATTTGGTTCGTTGTTGTCTGTCACTCAGGAAATCTGCAATCCAACTAACAGTGGAATCAGGGATTTCGAGGGATTTCAGTTTAGATAGGACGATGGTGTGGTCTACATAATCGAAAGCTTTTTGGTAATCAACCAAAACAATCCTTACTGAGGCTCTAGCACCGTCTGTTTTCTCCGACCATTTATGAATCATTTTAATAAGCGCCTGGTTTGTGGACGAGCCGGGAATAACACCATATTGATTTACATCTAAAACTTTAAGGATTGCGGGTTTTAAATGCTTAATAACCACGAATTCCTCGGCGACTTTAGAAAGTAGAGGAGTTAACGAAATGGGTCTAAGATATTGGTTAATGTCATGAGCTGGCGTCACCTTTGGGACTGGGATAATATTTGCTTGCTTCCAAATTGGGGGTAGTTTGTTTTCAGTGTAGGAACTGTTTATGATTTTCATCACTGGTAATGAGAGAATCATTGCATATTCTTTAAGAACCCAAGACGGGATATTATCAGGCCCACCTGACTTCCAGGGATTGAGTGAGTTTAAACAATTCCAGACGTCCAGTTCAGACACTGTAAGGACATTTGAAATGGAGTCGTTGTTTGGTACTGTGACTTGCAACGGTTGAAACTCTTGGAGTGGTTCCAGAAACTTGTCATTAATTTTATTTGCAACCTCGATATCACTTAGGTTATCGAGGTCATCAATTTGTAAATTGGAGCGGAGATCAGGTTTGGTAATTGTATTCATTCCACTTATTTTTTTAACTGCACTCCACCAGTTCCTAGGCTTAACATGTTTCAGGTTTTTAATCTTGCAATCATAGTAGGAGGACTTGCATTTCTTTCGTTCCATGTTAACTACATTGCGATAATATTTAAATTCAATACTGTTCCCTGATTGTAAGGCTCGTTGCCGATTCTTAATCGAACGTTTAAGTTTGTCGGACATCCAGGGGGCATCATTATTATGTATAGTCCTGATTTTTATCGGCATGATTAAATTAAGAGAATCAGATACAATTTTGTTAAAAAAGTCAACCTTTCCCTCACAAGAGTTAATTAGATCCAAACACGACCAATCAATTGTTGAAAGAACTCTCCCAAGTGCCATTTTGTTGCTTGGTCTAATGTCACGTGATTTAACTACTCTTGGTTTATTCGTATTAATATTTCTGATCTTTGGAAAAAGCGATATCGTAAAATGGTCAGATAGACCAAAGGGTGCCATTTTCTTGGGATTATCGAAGAATTGAGATATATTAGTCAAAATCACATCCAATGTTGATATGTGATAGAGCTTGGATTCGTTTTTTGGATCAGAAATCCTCAGAAAACTTATATTTTGTCCCCCAAGGGTGGGGCATTTGCGTCAATATAAGTCCCCAAGGGTGGGGATTTTGTTGCATTATTTGGACCCCATACTGCGGCATTTGCAACGTTTTTTCGCCAAAATGACAAAAGCCCGACAAACGCCCGGGGGGGGGGGGGGTTGGGCACCCATGGAATTGATTGA